CATTAATTTACGCTGCAGTAGAGTTGGAGGATAAATGGGCTGAAAAACATCGTCCCATTGATCTTTTTAGCATCATAAAAATTTCAGTACGCGTATATTTTACGTATGCTGGGGCTAATTGTAAAAAATAAAATGTATAAATACATGTATATGATATTTTTTCTCTTTGAAAAAAAAGCCGCAATATAATTTTAAAAAGGAATATATATATACTTGATCTACATAATTTTATAGCACTAAACGCGTATATAAATTATTTTTAATTGATTGATCTATTACAGAAGAACAACATGACTAATCGTACTTTTATTTTTAGTGATAAGCAAATTAATAAACATCGTTTCTCTATTCTAAGATTGTAGGTTTATCATTTATACTTTTGCTTCAGAGGAGAAATATCAGTAAATTATTTTTTTTCTATTATACATGTATTTTAATGCATGTACTGTACATACTAGTATTCTGTCTTCATTAGTGTGCCAAACGTATTTATCGACAAAATTATAACACTGTATTAAAAAATAATTATATGTATTTATCTATCTATTTATTCATTCATTCATTCATTTTATCTATCTGTCTGTCTTTCTATTCTTAAATAAACGATTAAAAATTTATTTGTTATGTAAGCACGTACCGGCACGTGGCATTGTTGCAAATCTTATGAGGGATCTATACAACACAAACTTGTTGACCAGCTAAAACCCTCTCTCCTCAACCCCCCCCCCCCCCTACACAAAACAGTGACAGGGGTAGTGGTATGGCTTCGAAGGAGTACCCGATTTGGTGTACATGTAACACACAAGTCCAGTGACAAGTTGACCCCCCTCTCCCAAAAAAGACAACAGATTGGGCTAAAGGTCTTCAGTTGGTTGGCCGATATAAAGCCGCCGTTTAATTACATGTACTTCAAAACCACTCCAGGTGTTTCTGCAGTAGAAGAATCTGTAAGTACATCTCTTTATTTTTTTTAGTACAGTGTATTTAAAATGCGAACACAGTACCTTATTTTCATGTTGGTATACATTGAACATTGCATATGTAATTCAGAGTACGGTTTTTAGTCTAATAGTGCTTGAGGTATCAGTTTGTACAAATACATGTAATTGAAAAAGAGAACTGCCAAATCTTGAGTGTTTCAAATTATCCCTTATACTATTAGTAGTCATTTTATCGTTACAACAAATCCCTTTACATAATCCATATTTTAAATTTTCTTTGATGTTGTTTTAGTTTGTATTTCTATGCGCTATTGAAACAAAAAATTATGAGTGATTTAGGTCCGTAACTGTACAAAACAACACCCCTACCTTACCACAAACTCCCCCCCCCTAATTTCGAATTGATTTATAAGTATCTAATCAAATGTCCTCTGTAGCAGCTGACTTAATAAATATACACGTCCCGAAAGGCATAGGCTGATCAAGTCGGACAGCGACAGTGAAAGTCGGACATGTAGAATTTAAAATCGGACACAAACTGTTTTCGGCATTTAAAGTCCAATTTACTTTATTTTTTAGGTGTTGATTGTAATGGAGCATGCACAAAGTATCAAGGGGTGGGGTAGGGGGCTGACCTCTCACCCCCCCCCCAAACATTTACTTTACACAATTGAAAATTCAAGTTCATTGAAAGGCTGTTTTCATCATCTCCACCTTTATATCTTACAGTCAAACCAGGGTAATATGTTAATGTATGAATAAAAATCGATTTTGAAAGATATGTAATCAAATTGAAAGTACGTATACCTCCCATCAACCTCTGAAATAGAATTTTCTTTGCGTTTGGACAATTATCTACTCTTACTATCTTGTCACTTTTTTTTCTTCACTCAGGTAAGTTGATTTTTGTGTTAAATTTGTTAGCCCCTCCTCAGCGTACAAAAATGATACCAAGAGCCCGGGAAAAGATTCGTGAACATATAAACTTAATTAAATTAGTTTACGTAATGTACTTAGTATAATCGTGTGGATTATTTAGATAATTTTTCCATTTATATACCAAGAAATTTGAATTAGCATATATAGTACATGTATTATGCGATCTATAATTTATAAACCAATCCGTTATCGTGTGAATAATTTTTGGGTTTAAATTGTCTCCAAAATAAATCCCATTTTATACATTTATTAAATGGTTATAAACAGAAAACTATTTATCCTACTATCTTTACTTTAGAATCAGAATCAGTAATCTGAAACATATTTAATTTTCAAGAAAGAAACCTTTTCTTTTCCTGAATGAGTGATGAGTTATAAACATAAAACTCAAATAAAGCCACGAAAAAATGATTTTTTTTATAGACTTTCTTTCCTTCTCTTTGTTCTCGTTTTCTTCTTTTATTTCCCCCGGTTTATGTCTACCGTATTTTATTTATCTGTTATATTATATCAGTCTGTTGCTGTTAAAATTCAATGAGATGGGTTTCGCTTTACGTGTTTTTCATTGTTTTTTAAGGCAAGTGATGAAACTTTTTTTTTCAAAAAGTTGCATCGAATCGGCAAAATTTGATTGCAAAAGCTAAAATACTCTTAAATTACCAGTAAGTTTAATTACATTATAAAAAATTGTTCTAGTATTTAAAAATATGACAATTTAAAAAAACAATTTATTCAATATAATGTGCTGTCCGACTTTAAATTCTTCCCTGTCCGACTTTAAATGACCGAGAATGTAAAGTCGGGTAGTTTAATTTTAATAGTTTACTTAATAAATATCCACCAAAAAATTATTATTATGGGAATAAGTAATATTATTCATTTAAAAGTTTGATTTAATTACAAAATATATAGGCTATTACGGAGTACCGACGGCAAACTGAAGATTTCTCCAGAGATAACTAAGGTCACTGCCGACAGGTGCGCGCTCGGTGCGCATGCGAAAATTTTCCGGATCCATGAGATGCGTATGTATTCTCTTAATTTTATACATTATTTCAAACTCTTTCACGACTATGTTTGCATGAAACAACCAGAAACATCCTGTAGACGGATCGGAGATACTGAAAGAAAAATACACATGACACTAAATTTAGAAACGATTTTATTCTGAAAGAGAAGAGTGTCCAACATTCGATGCTGTCCGACTTTAGCTGTTCCTCCCCTACTCATAACAGATTAAATACATTGTGCAATTTAGTTTGTTGGTGTAAAATGGTTTGTCCATTTGATGATTGTAAACTAACATAGAAAGAGTGGGTAAACTAACGTACATCGTACGCAAAAAAAAAAAAATACATGCACAAGACAAAGGGATTTACATAATTTCATTTCAACATTTAAGCTTAAAAATGATTCTTCAGTTCGTTACCATTTCTCCCATGTATCTGTTCATGGATCACAAACGACGATTAAACAATTAATTTTTTGCGTACACTACATTAAATCCCATGTTCAATGTCCAAAGCAAATTTTTTCGCTAGCAGAAATTAGTAAAAATAAAAAATAACTATATTTGAAAAGCTCAACAAAATTGGAAAATTATAATTTTGGGTAACATATTACACATGACATGATATCTCATACGTATGAATAAGAAAATTACGTATCACGAACACAACCCGTTGATTTGTAGCGAATAAGGAATCGGCTTACACTCTGTCTAGTTGTTTTGAAGTTGTAGTTTGCGTTGAGTTGTTTCGTTATTTTTACAAATGAAAGCCCAGATGCGTGGTACTTGATTATGGTGTTTCGAACAGCCAGGGACAACCTACGTCCTCCCTTTACGGGCGCCATAGCGAGAAATAAATCAAAATGACTTATTTGGTCACTGCACGGTTCGAAAATCATTGGGGGCGTGGTTTGCATAATTAAGCAAAGGACGGTACGGTTCGTTTCTTGCACGGAACGGTACGCTTTGTGGACGGTACGGTACGCTTTGTGCACGGTACGGTTCGTTTTGAGGACGGTACGTTTCGTTTCTAGCACGGAACGGTTCGCTTTGTGGACGGAACGGTTCGCTTTGTGGACGGTACGGTACGCTTTGAGAACGGAACGGTACGCTTTGTGCACGGAACGGTTCGCTTTGTTCACGGTACGGTACGCTTTGTGCACGGAACGGTACGGTTCGTTTCTGAGGTGTAGTAGCACGTTTTAGGGTCTGTATATATAACATGTTCGATTAATTTATTTTAGCCTTTTTTTTTAAATGTTAAGAATACAAAAATTGATTATAAATTAGGTAATATACTGTAAATTTTTATTTTTAAGAATTCAAAATTAAGGGCATACCACTCTAACCGCAGAAAAATACCACAGAATCAGAACTCTTTAGTGTGCAGTGAGGGTTCTTAATCAGTGTTAAATAATTGATATGTAGAAACCAAACCCAAATATTTATTATTTGCATTTTGATATTGAACTTCTACACCACGGAAAATAATTATAGGCATAGGCCTCGGAACCGGGGGGGGGGGGCACTTTTTTTTCCCAAACATAGACTTAGTATAGGCTTTTTAAGCATTGCAGTGTAGTTTTAGCCCCCCCCCACTTTCCACAGACACGTTGCAGTATAAGTAAAAAAAAAAGGGGGGAGTGGTGGTGTTTAGAAAAAAAATTGATACTGAAAGAAGTTCGACAACACCCACCCATCCCGCCAAGTACCCCCTCCCCCATACATTAAAGACTGAGTTAATCTCTCTGCTTACATACCACTTTTAGTATATATACAAACAATGCACACCATCGATACCTCATAATTATTAAAAACATACTACAATCGCGACTTAGTTTCGGCCAACTACAATCGATTAAATCAGTCTGAAAATAGACTCGTTTGATAGGTTATTATTCCGGAATATTCTAGTCTTTTCGAATAAATTCTATAACTTATGTTTTAAAATAACGACATACGATTGAAAAGTTCAGTTTAATTATTTAAATCATATGCCTCATCTATCAGGAAGTAATTGCCCTAACAAAGACTATTTCAATTGAAAACTTGAAATGTTTCGTTAGATTTAAGATTAAAACTTTCCATTAGCTTAATTGGTTTTGCGACATTCAGAAATCGGTCTGCCCCAAATATTTGTCATTTTAATCATAACACACCTGAGGATTTAACTACACGATGCGGGGGTGTGGATGAAGAAATCGTTATGTCAAATCAGTCATCAATAGTCCAGGGAGTTGATGGTGAATAGCCTTAGTGAGTATATTGTCTCAATGTCCTTATTCGGTTGTTGTAAAGTAATTTTTTAACCGCTGTCAGCTAATTTTGATTGGGTTCTTCGTATGTCTGTTTTCTTTGGTATTCCAGCCTTCAGATTAGTTTTGTTTTTATTTTCAGAATTTTATATAGATATTTTAGCATTATATCATGCCATTTGGTTTGAAATTCAAAAGAACCAGGCGGTATGACATCTCTACAAAGAACGTGTTTGTGGTGGGGGTGGAGATGTTGGATCATTCCTACCTAGAGTGTACACTGAACTCTGACAGTACGGGGCAGGAATGTCTGGAGAGCATAGCTCAGCGTATAGAACTCAGCCAGGTAAGCATAGCTCAGCGCATAGAACTCAGCCAGGTACTGGTAGAGTAGATTCTAATTTCTATAAACTTTATACAGAACTCAACAAGGTACTATGCATGCGGTAGATTGGAATCCATATACAGAACAAATTACTAGGGCTGCCACGATTAACCGAAATATCGGTTAACCGCGATTCACAATTGTTCGGTTCGATTCGGTTCGTTTTTCCGGGATTTCGATTCGATTCAGGTTTGATTTTTTCATACTAACATCTGCTGTTGTTAAGCGCATTCTGATTGGTTAATCTGAAGAAATGATGGCAAATCATTATAAAGTAAACAAAAACACGAAAATGGTGGCGAAGAAGTCGACGGAGGACTACTCATAGTACTCCCAAGTTGCATATATACAGAAAGACAGCACAGAGGATAAGTGGATTCACACAACACCCATCAGCCACGTAATTCTGAATTTAGAGGAACCGACACAGTGCTGCGAATTTCCTTATTTCTTTTTAATATTGACATTCATATTTGTAATGTGAAATTACTTATTGACATTCTTGTTATGACAGTAATGTGTTTAAGTGGTTTGGTATCGTATTGGTGAATAAAAAAAAATAAATCACAGCAGAGATCTAACCGTTATAATAGCCCTTGTATGCAAAACACCAATACTTTTATGTTTAGCATAATATGTAATCATTGGTTTTGTGTGAAAGATTTGTTCGCATGCTTCATCTTTTAAAACCAATGACCAGTATTTTTAATAATTTTGATTTAATTCAGACATTTGATTCTTGGGTCATACTTTGAAATTAGAACATAAGGTATTTTCTTTGTTTCTTGGGATTACATTCCAATTTATCTTAATAAATCCTATAAAAGTATGAATTATTTATAACTATTTATTATTTATTAGAATGTCTTAAGATCATGATGATAAAACATTACAGATTTTAAACAAAAAAGAGAAAAAGTTCTATTTCTTATAATCGAATCGAAATTATTCGAAAATCGAGGTTTTTGTTTGAACCGAATCGATTCGAAAATTTTCTGATTCGTGGCAGCCCTACAAATTACTTCACACAAAACTCAGTCAGGTTGAGTTGAATAGATCTATAAACTTTATACAGTACTTGTTTAGGAAGAATAGAATCCATAAAGTCTGTACAGAATTCAGTTTCAAAACCTTATACAGAACTCAGTCAGGTATAGCATGTATAGTGTAAAAATACATAGAACTTGATCAAGTTGGGTAGCGTACACGTTACCTTGGAAATCTTTCCCACTTTTTTGGCTCCACCTCCTATCTAAAACTTTTATTCAAAACACTTTTATTCAACCACAACAATAAAGAAAAACTGCAAGTATTTTGTTCAATCACTCAGTATTTTGGTCTATGAATACCTTAAATTTGTGATTTTTTTTCTCAATATTTTAACATATGTTGTTTTATAGACTCAGTATTTTGGTTTACGATATGTGACCAAAAAGATGCAGTATCATTGGATTGACCTGACAAAGCCGTTGAAGAAACAGATTGAGAAGAATCTCCAACCCGGTCACTCCCCAAGGCTTTACTTTGGGGTCATGTTTTACATCACAGGGGCACACAAGATCATTGACGATGTGGCAAGGCAAGTTATATATCATACTGTAAATGTACTATTTTTCTGCGGGATCATAATATCGCAGAATTATAATTCCTGTTCAATCCTCATTTAATATATTATGAAGACCTTTGTATCACCATTTTATCTCGTGTATGCATTTTAAAGTATTCTCAAATCTGTGTCAAATTTCTGTGAGAAATTTGTGACTTCATACATAGTGCAAAATAGTCCCATGTATAAAAGAGTAAATTTACTGATTCTCTAAAAGTTCTTGTGTTTGGTGAAAATATCCAATAAAAACTATTTTGCCTTTTTTTATGTAAAAGTATAGAAACTTATACAGATATTTTGACAATGTTTATTTAGTGTGAAAGGTTGTACAATCTTTGCAGTTGTTAGATGTAAGCTGTGATTTTTCTTTTGTAGGTATCAGTATTTTTTACAGTTGAAGACAGACATTGTAGAGGGAAGAATTCCGGTCAGTATAGAGCAGGTCATTCGTTTGGGAGCCTTCAGTTTACAAGGTGAGCAGAGTATTTTCAGTTAGAAATCAAATAATTTCATAAAAAGCTGTATGTAAGGGATAAAAAATATCTCCCTTAGAGAGGGAAAATTTATAAAGTTAATTGTGAAGTGCGTAGAGATTTTTTTTTTTCAGACTGCATGTAAAGATTCAGATTTTTTTTCATCATTGTTCGTGGGGGAACTGCATGTATATATACGAACATTTGTTTTATTATTTGTTAAAAGTTACGATTACACAGTTTTATATTGAAAGATATATAAAGTATTGGTTATTGACACAAAACCAAAATAAAAAAACAAAACAAATATATTATTCAGTCTTAAAGACATCGATAACTATATACAATAAGTAATAAAATGATAAATACAACTGTAAAATTTAAGTAATGTTTACATTATAGTCCAACATGCTCAAATGCCCCTTTGATGAGGTCAATTTTCAGTGCGATTTTGGAGTGGGTGCTAATTAGCCAATTAGCATGAATTGATTTCATGGTAAACGTTTTTAAGTCGTCATCGTTCTCATTTAGGGATTTAAAAACATGTTCCACGTACCACTGTTGTTCTTTTTAATCATTATTTACTGCGACATTACGGCTGTAATTTAACGGTGCAAACTACGCCGGTACATTTTTGTGTTCACAAGAGAGATAACTTAAATAAGCAACACTGATTATCCTTATATATATTGTTACAATTATAAAAAATGCAGATTGATTTTTTATTTGTATTAAATCCTGTGCACGATGTTAATGCCATATCATGTTTATATTTATAAGTTATATCTGTTGCGTAAATATCAGCATAAGTTAACTTAATTATAAAAAATGCAGATTGATTTTTTACAATCCTTGTACATGTTGTAGTTATATGTACTTTTAAAACCTATTTATTGTTTACACTTCACCATCTTGTTTCACTTTTTGCAGCTGAATTTGGAGATTATGAATATGATAAACAACAGCAGGAATATTTTGAAGATAATGATTTATTTCCTAAGGTAATACAAAAAACAGATTTAAATTATATCAGAGACTATATTAGTTTTTATATTTAAAAAAAATTCAAGGATAAGTTACATTTATTTTATTTTGACTTGGAACAATTTGAGCAAAATAAAATTTTTTAAAGAATTGTTATTAACTATACGTCTTTAGAGTAATATTATTAAATTACTTTGAAGCTGAGAACTCTTTTGTTACTGAAGAGAAATAAAAATGTTTAATTTCTTGGGATTTACATTAAACAGACAATGTGTCGTGATGATAACGCTGTGTCGGAGATGATGCATGAGGTACTGAACTCCTACCAGAACCTCCAAGGCATTCACCCGGTGAAGGCAGAGATGCAGTACATCAAGGAAATACAGATGATGGACGGTTACGGCATGGAGTATTACACCGCCAAGGTAACAAGATCTATTTAATACAGTTAAAGTTGGGTATCTTGAACGCTGATATCTCAAACACCGATATCTTGAATCCCCTGGATATGTTGAAAATGATTTGCAAGTCCCGAATACTTTTTCTGTAAGTATTTTACCCTTGATATCCTGAATGTTTGGAAAAAATTATAATAATTTATATGAACTTTTTTGTATTATTGGTCCCATCAAGCTCAAGATAACAAGGGTCTATCATAATACAATTTTTGCTATTCATCCACAAATAAAGATGCAAGGCTATACAGTTTAATGTATCATTTAATATAAAAATAATGTTTTTTTTTATACAAAAAATTTAAAGTAAGATATGTGCTCTTCATTAGCACATGGTTTAATTAGTCATTATGATTTTACAGGATGAGAGAGGTAAAGAGCTTTACCTGGGAACTTCCTACACAGGTATACTGGCCAGATACCTGGATGGCTCACCTACGATATGTTTCAGGTACGTACAGGTGTTCAGGTATTAATCTTTAACATGCATCCTTTGTGTTGAAGGTATTTTTGAATTTTAATCCTTAGAAAAGTATTCCTTAGGAAATGAGTTTGTTTTAGATGGTCTGAGATTGCCAGACTGACTCAAAGTAAGAAAGTCTTGGAGGTGGATACGTCTAAGAGTTCCTCTCACTACACAATGGTAAGTTTAAAATGAGACCTTTTTTTTGTAAATATTTTTAATGTTTAATGACCTTGGAAAAAATACATTGAGTAAAGTATAAAGCCTAAATTGAGGATATCTTTGGTTAGGATGTCTTAGTAGCATAGTGGTGGGCACTCTTGCCTCTCACTGCTGTGATCCTAATTTAATCCTTGTGATCGACAAATCAAAAGAACAGGGGTAGTTGTGATGTTGTTTTGGTCTCTTACAGGAGGACTCGGACACGGCTAAATACCTGAAGAGGATGGGCTACCTTATACAGAAGTTCCACAAAACCAACAAAATGACCCCAAGGTAGGGGAAATTTCAATCTACATTTTATTCTGAGGAGAGAGATTTTTGCATTTGCATTTTGTTTATTTTTCAGTCATTGCCTGTAGTTTAAATATTATTTCTCTGGATTGCAAAGCAAAAATCTGTTACATCCAGTTATGTACATGTATAGTTGCATTATTCATGAATAATCTTTAAAACTTCATACTGAATTTCACTTCATGCAACCCTGACAGTGAAGTGATGAATGATGTGCCACCTTTTCAGTACTTGTTTTCTGAACAGATCATTTAGGACCTATCTTAATTGACAGTCTAGATTTCATAAGTGTGAATTCATAATTGTATAATTCTTTGCAATCCAGACTTGTTGTCATTTAAATGATATCTTTTGTACACATGTGCAGCATATTTTGTACAGAAAGGGATTTTACAAATGGCTTCTTACCCATAGTTGTCGATTTTATACATATACATCTATTCCATTTACTCTTTTGACATTTGTAAGCTGTATATTTAATTTTTTTTTTCATAAATGCATGTCAATAAAGAAAAGATTTCAGTTAATTTCTGGTAGACAAATTACCGTATTTTCTTCTGGCTTGGTTGAATTTGAGTCTATACCTGCAAAAACAAACTCACAATGCATCTTGAGGTCAATTTAATAGATTGAATTGCACTGGCTGGCTTTAGCATGTTCTATAAATAGAATGATTCTATAAATAGAATGATGCATGACAATCTGTTTACAGTTCCAGTATCGTTGACCTTTCTGACCTCTCGGCAGATGCGGGACAGTAAGCTTTGCTCTCTGCATGTTACTATTCTTAGCTTGTTTCCTTGACAACCACATCACCATGGCAACCACACCATGGTGATGTACTGTAGTACATATATAGTTGCACTTTCTATTTCAGTTACTTTAATACTATACATGTATTTAAGAAATAAGGTATCATTTTTTGAAGTATTAATGTAAATATACGGGTGTAGCTTATTTTAACCTTAAAGCCCGAAGGGCTTTATGTATATAACCTTGATCATGTGCAATCATTATCATCTCAATAATCAAATGCCATTTATTACATATTTACATTTGTGACTTATTCATACTTTACATTTGCCTGATTGTTACTTTTAACGTGTGAAATGCATTTATTTTTCAAACCCAACGGCATGTATGTAATCCACTAAACGCGCGTCGACCCTTTATGACGTCATTACGTCGAACGTTTTCCAAACGCACATTTTTTTAACCCCATACCTGTATTTACACAGTTATAAAAACGCTTGCCTTCAGTAGTGTTATATAAAGGAAAACATTTGCAAATGTAAATATTACTTATTAATCATGGGATATATCATATCAAGTAATGTATAATATAGCTTATTTTAACCTTGGTTGACAGAGTTATAGCTGTATGTATTTATAACTTCTATTTTCAATCATTATCATTTCAATAATCCAGCCATTCATCACACTTTACAATATATGGTCAGTACTGCTCTTTGGGTGAGGACTGATTCCAAGACTTTCAGTATTCAAAATTTTAAATTCATTTCCTATAATGCCATGTTTCTGTTTGAATCTACTCTCATTTAAATGTTTGAATATAAAACAGTCTATTAAAGTATTTATGATATTAAATTGGATGATTTGTTCAACATTCAAATTTATTTGAATTTTAAAACAATGAAATTAAAGAGTGCTGTTTTCTGTTTGAAATAAAACCAATGAAATTTTAATAAAGATAAATTTGACAATTAATTCTTGAATATTCAATGAATGATCGAGAAATTAACCTAGTGCATGTTCATTTTTTACCCCAAAAAGTCTTCCATTTGCTAAAAAAGGACATTTATGTAATGCTATATTGATATTCAGACACATACTTGATATATATGTATTTTGTTTTCTGAACAATTTTATTTACAGATGTGTGTTTGTTATTTATCAATGATTTTTTGTTAATTTAAAATACATGTAAACATATATTTAAATACATGTACTTGACCTTTTTTTAGGGATGATATTCAGACATCACAGCAAGTCTTCTCAGATCCATTGGTAAGTCATTTACAATTTATATGTTACATGTAGATGTAGATATATTTTTTTCATCTTTAAGTAATATGTTGTCTTTTTAGCGGATTTCACATAGCTATGTCTCTTAAAAAACTAAGCAAGTCATTGTATGGAATTTTGAAATTTTGAAGTTTTGTAAGATCGTTTCTCTAATGGTGTTATGGTTTTCTTTTTCAGACCCAGTCCCAAACATCACTAACTTACTCTCAACATTCCACTCATTCCCAAGTGTCACATGACCAGAGGTTTGATCCAGGTGAGTTCACATGACGGTCACATGTTCTTTATATAATGTATAATATGGAATATTTTGTTGTTGTTTTGTGTGATACTTAGTTTGGATTCTTTGTTATTTCTTCTCAAAAATTTGAGTAGCCATGATTGATGTTATTACTTTATTTACAAGTAAAAGATATAAATTTTTATTGTGCTTTTCTAGATTTATCGCAGTCTTCCTTTGAGGATTTTTATCGTCAGTCTCAGCAGAGCCTGGAGACAACACACAGCGACATCATTCACTACTCTGGTGACGGAAGCTTCACCCATATCAACGGAGGTCAGCTGATCACAGACAGCCCTGTGATTGGTCAACACACTCCTGTACAGAGGAGGGATTCCCAAAAGTCCCCCTTACTACCGGCGTATAGACCCAGTCCAAGCTATGAGGAAGTGATGCGACGTCGGATGAGCCAGCAGCCCCCCGCTGCCGTTCACAGCTCCCCCATTCTGCAGTCTCACCATCATCCTAACCCCATCCCCGACCACAAACTGTACCCCCCAACATCCCCGAGAATTTTACATGACGCAGTATTGATTCAGCAGCCCCCTCCTGGTATAATGTACAACCCGGATGTTACTTTTAACACTGGAAATGCATATATGAACAGTGAACTTATGTCTTCTTATAACAACAATACAATGTATGCAAATAGGGCAGTCTTCACAACGGATCTTGGGAACAGGGGAAGTAATCTGGTAATGCAGCCAACATACAGTTCACCGGAGTTAAATTCCCAGTTACCCCAGTTCAGTATTAAAGAGACTGAGCCCCTCCATTACAAACCCCCTCCCCCTTATCCCAGATCCAGCACAAGTACCCCTGACCTAGCCAACCAGACTGTCAGAACAAAAGTAGGGGAAAGTCCAGATTTAGTGTCACGCAAAAACCTGGGTGTGAAAACAAGTTTTAACGGAAGTGTGGAGAATGTTCCAAAGGTTGTGTTAGACCACACTGAATTAAATCCTTATCCTGCAAGTACTTCTGAAAATGTGATACTTAACCCAGAAAGTGCAATATTACCTAGAGACACGACAGATTCAGCAAAGCCACCTTTGGTCTTGCCAAATATTTCGACCCTGGGGGTTAGTCCACATATTACAGTTCAGCACCCCGAGACAGATGACGCCTCAAGTGATCACTCAGGGGCTACGTTTCATGTCAAGGACACAGACAGTGAAAAAGAGGATGATAAAAGTCCAAAGTTAGACAGTGTTAAAGCCAAAATAGCCATCAAATACGTGGCCCCCAACAAAGCACCGCCTCCCTCCACCACTAAAGAGCTGATCACTCGAAGGGAGAGTTTCCGCCGTCAAATGATAGCACGGACAACTCATGAAAACCCCATAAAGAAAGATGAACCTCAGGACCCAGTGGTCATCCCCGAGCACACAGATGGCAGTGGCGTGGCGGTCAAACCCACCACCAGTCAGTCCACCTTTATACGGCGGTTCTCCAGCCGCAGACTGTCCCACAAGAAGCCAGAGGTACCACCCCCCATCACCAGGCGAGCCTCCGACATAGCGACTAAGTTTACCGGGCTGGATGTGGTACCACCGGTGGGGAACTTTGTCAGACAGGTCAGTGTGGAGTCAGAGGAGCCGGGGCCACCAGAGGAGGATAGTGATTCAGATTATGAGAAAGTAAGTATAATTTCTAGGATTATTGAATAGAACAAGACAACATTTTTATATCCCCGCTCCGAAAGAGAGGGCGTATACTGTTTTACCCTTGTGTGTCCGTCTGTCGTCTGTCCGTCTGTGTGTCCGTGTGTCTGTCCGTAAAAAATTTTCGTCTCAGTTTTCTCAGCAACTAATGAAGATGCCATACAGTGGGATTTTTATCACTGTTTGTCTGTGCATAATAATTTTCCATATATCAGATTTTTAGTACACTCTTTCTTTAAAATTTTGATTAGAGAGAAAGATTTAAAACTACAGATATTCTTATAAATCCATTTTAATATAATTCATATTATTGATGCTGCTGGCATTTCTGCCATTTTTAATTTTATAGTAATACATAAACGCAGTTTATTATTATACTGTATCTTTATAGGATGCTACAGTGAAATTGAAGATGGGACCTCTGAAGATGGCTGCCATGAATGGATTAACTATGTCTAGACCAATGGTATTGGCTCTTATGAATGATGAAAGCAGAGCTCCAAAGGATGAGAGGGTAGGTATCAAAAGTGAAATTAAATAAAATGGCCAAGTTAGTGCAAACAAAGGAAGATTTAGTTAAAGATCATATAATCTACTTCAGTGTAGGGCTTTATAACGAAAAATAATTTTTGCAAATATTTATTGGGTAATTTTGATAATCTTATACTTTTTCAGAGAAAGCTTCTAGAAAACAAATTGTCAGAGAACTTGGTATTTAAAGAGTTTGAGGAAATCCCCAAGAAGGTGCAATCAGCTGAGTGCAGCGTGGCCAGACTTCCAGAGAATGAGGGACGTAACAGGTTCAGGGACGTCCTGCCATACGACATCACTCGGGTCAAACTGACCCCCAGGAAGGACAACCACTCGGGTTATGTCAATGCTTCTCATATCAAGGTCAGTCATTTAAAAAATGTTTCAATCTCTTTGATTTTCATTTTCATACATGTAGCAGACAGGCAGTTCTTTAAAAACTAAATCTAATTCACAATAGAAATGCATACAATTTCCACAAGCTATGAGGAGACAAACGAATTCATATCCACCATGAACTGCAAATTTTCGCACATATTTCTTCTGAACAATCCTAAAACCACAAAATCCAATCCCCATGAACCAATTTATTTTCTTCAAACCATGAAAATTTGACCCCTCGAAAATATGTGATTTTACAGTATATAAAAAGAGTAATAGTTCATTATCCAGTGAGAGTTATCGCTCTTAACTGAGGGTCAATGAACCTTTATTTTCAATGTAATAGATCATAGATGTGAAGTATTCTCCAGGCCTGTAATTAAATGTCTGTTTTTCATTCTTGTAGCTGTCCTTTGGTGACCGGGTCTGGTGGTACATTGCCACCCAGGCTCCAATGGAGGAAACCTGCGTAGATTTCTGGCAGATGATCTGGGAACAGGAAGTGGACGTCATAGCCATGTTAACAGACCTAGCTGTAAGTGTTTTGTAAAAATACTCATCTCCGCAAATGTACAAGAATCAATAAATCTGTTTAGAAGTAAGCCTTTCCGTACAATTTTGTTCTGTGTTGAATGTATTGCATTCTTGGCTTACTTGCAGGAGCAGGGAAAACAGAAGTGCCACACCTACTGGCCCCAGGAGATTGGACCCGACCATAAGATTACATTTGGACAGGTATTTAGCCAAGCCATTGCAACAAAGTAAAACTTAACAAACAAAAAACCAAAAACAAACAAGATATTCCTCTGCCTTAAATAATTTTGCACAAATGATGAAATGATACACACCATCAACTTAAGAATAAGTTGCTTTGAAAATGTGTTGAAATACAATTTTTGCTTCAGATGTTTTGCCAGGGAATGCATGTTTGGTAAAATTAATATTTACTGAATTTTCTGTCCATAGTTCAGAGTTATGTCCCTTTCTCAGCATTAAGCCTTTTTTGTACATCTATAGAAAGTAAGAAAATATCATTGAATTATCAAAGTTTGAATCCTATAATGAAATTTATTTTTTTTCTTTGTATAATATGAATTTTTCTTTCATTGTAGTATGAGGTGACCCTGTTGTTCTGTAATGACTCTCTGTGCTACATCACCAATAGAATCTCTGTGGTACACCTGCCTACTAAGAAGGAGAAACAGGTCTGGCATCTACAGTACACAGACTGGCCAGACCACGGCTGCCCAGAGGATATGTACGGTTTCCTTGGTAAAGATTTTCTCCCTCTTAGTACAATTTTCTGTCAACCTTGGACTTTCAGTAAGGCATGGCATTCTAAAAGCTACATAATTAACGTCTCTTAAATGGCAAATAGATTCTTATTGGTTAAGAAATGATTAACAATAGCAACTTAAAATTGTTGTTGACAAGCGTGATACAACTTGGCTTGAATGACAAAATTGGATCTTGAAAGGTACAACTGATGATATTTGTATATTCCAGTTTGTAGCATTGAAAAAAATATAAAACCAGAGTACAAGTCGGGAACAATTTATGTTTATATACTGTAGAAGCAGAAATATTCATGTGTGATTAAATTTCATTTATTTCGTTATTAACAATTATCAACGAAAATAAATTGTCCCTGGTATCTGTAGGACTTTTTTATTATGTATCTAGGATTCTTGGATGAAGTGGACTCTGTACAGAGACTTGCTGAGAGTGAGGAGGGGAGTGGGAAGAAGTCCCCCATCGTGGTCCATTGCAGTGCCGGGGTGGGGAGGACGGGGGTGGTGATCCTAACCCAGGTCATGAAGTGGTGTCTGGAACACAACTTTGTAAGTCAGTTTTGATTCTTTAGACCAACTTTCATTTGTAACATCTTTTATTTTGCAATTCTTCAGTTTTGAATCCATCTGTGACAATAATGTTGCTTTTCAATCAGAATTTTTATTGCATGTGCTAGATCAATATCTGTGAACAGCAAAAACAGTCCATCTATTTAATGTTCTTAATAATTTTACTAAAGTTTTAGATTTATTTCTTTAGGATATAGATCTTCCAAAAGCTCTTGGTGCCATTAGACAGCAGAGAATGTTCATGGTTCAGACATTAGGACAATATAACTTTATACATAAGACTCTGATCCAATATCTGAAGAATTCCAGGCTCATCTAGGAGTGTGTATACAAGAAGATGTTCAAACATTGCTAGTCAAACAAAACATTGAGACTGGGATATATTACAGAAGCACAAACATTCCCACAGATTCATGATACCGAAAGGTGTCATAAGAGAGTGAAAAGCTTCCTCAAAGAATATGCTATTTTCAGATCTGTCCAAGGATAGGAGCATACAAAATGTTTCTCTTGCTGCAACAATGTAATATTTGTGACTCCCGAAAGTAGATGTTAGAATATACAAATAGGTGTTAAAATATATATGTACCCTTACAAATTATTTTTTTATGAGAAGTATTACTGGAAGGTGTATATTATAATTAAGTATTTGACATGTCCAACGATAATTTTTTTTGAATTTAGTGAAACTTTTTAAGCAGATGTTATAAAAATTTGATATCTATTTGTACATTGATAGTATCAATAAGGTTTTCACAGGGCATGTATACAATGTTTTGAATTTTTTTCTTCTAGGAAGTAGTTTTATTGTGTTGAACACATCGTATTATGGTGGCACTAAATTGCTTTTCAAAACTTCAGTACAGATGTTGATTTTTTTTTTATATTGGTGACCTGTACATGCTTAATATTGGTGATGAATTTTTGCTGAAATATTTTTTACTTTTACAAACAAAATAAATTTTTGCAACCTTTGTGAGCATAAGTTATCAGAAATTAAAAAAAAAAAGAATTTAAAACTGAGAATTTAAGTAACACAGACTTTTTTCATTGAGGCACATATTTTGCACTTGGAAACTATTTTTTTTTACCAATTTAAATTATTTTTCTATTCATTACCTGTATTCATATTATTAGGGCCCCGCAAGGATTTGCGGGTGCCCTATAGTAATCACTCTGTCTGTCCATCTGTCATTCTTCCGTCCACAAATTTTCTGTTTTTTCCTAATAACTTTTTTCATGGTTGCCCAATTAAGATCAAATTTGGTATGTTAGTTCAATAGGCAGAAAGACATATTTTGATGCTAAATTTATTTCTCTATGTCCCCTGGTTTGGAGCTGGGGTGGTGGGGTATATTCCCTAATTTTGTATAAGAATGCATTGGCAAAGAGAGATAACTGCTGAAGATGTTCCCATTGTAAACTGAATGCTGCTATGAGTCCCTTGGGATTAATTAGCTTTCCTCCTGAAGAAAATCCAAAGCATTATCTTTATCTGTCATATTGAGATTAATTACCACCTCTGTCTGCAAATGAAGTTTGTTTTGAAGTTAAGTCACTTTGGAATGCTACGAACACTCTGAAATGTGGATTTAAATATAAATGTTTTTACATGTACTTTATTTTTGTTAAAATACCTTACACAATGAGTTTAACTATATATATGATTTCATTGAATTCTAAAAACAAGATATAGATTAAATATGATATATTTTTTATTTTTACTTTTTTTTCATTTATGTAAATTCAAGAATATTATTGATTTTTAAGGTAGTTGGATAAAACCCCATTCTATCATTAATACTGAAAAAGTTCTTATTGTTGTAACTTTAGAAGAAAATGATGAGAGAGGTACAATTAATCCCTTGGGATTAATTATCTAGCCTGCTGCAGAAAATTTAGTAGGCTTTTCTTTATCTGTCACTTTAAGATTAATGAAAACCTTTGTCTGCAACTGCTATTTGTTTTGAAGTTAAGGTCAAGCCTTCATGATATTTGCATTCATAGAAGGCTGGGATTTTAAACATAATACAAGCTTCATTATTGTTTTAATATACATTCAATGTTAAAATGTTCTTTACTGCATAATGCAAATACAAGAATATTATTTACAGGTTTTTGGATATTCAGGAATTATCTTGAAATTTTAAAAATACAGTTGCTGTTGCTTATTCTTCATATATTTTTAATCATTCTGTATAGCACATCCTTATAATTCTACCCCATGGCGGGGCCCTTGCTGACTGGTCAGTTTTCTAGTTATGGAATTATTTAATATATTATTGTAGAATGGTTTAGCTTTTACTAGCCTTTTATCCATATATACATATTAAGGTTGTTTACTCTGGTTGTGTGTTACGTTTATGCATTAAAATTAATCCTATCTTACAACTCCCAATATATTTCAATATCAAACAGTAGTCTGATTGTTGTCATCTCATTAGAGTATTGTACTCTTATATTTTATTTTTATATTTATCTATGCAAGAATCTTTTAAAATTAGTTTTTATTTCGACATCCCTAAAATATGATGAGAGAATTTCAAATTTAAAGGAGCAAATAAACCAATGAAACAACTCAATATTTAATCAATATTACCAAAAACTTCACTCATGAATGTGTAGGTATTAAAATTTTACAGAATTTTTTGAAGAAAAAAAGTTAAATATTCTTTCAAAATCATATAAAATACCTTGTTATAAATCAGGATCTTAAGTTTTTCAATGAAGATATAGAATGAGAAATAATTTTAATTATATTGATGACTTTCTTTAGTTGAGCTTTTTTTAGTTATTATTTTGTTACATGGATTTTGTAACATTTTCAATCCTGCAATTTATTTTTGTCTACTTAATATTTTATCAAAACAAAGTTGATATAAGAATATTTTCAATACTTAATTTTTTTTAACTAAAAAAACGATATATATTTTAGAAATCATAAGTGCTTTTAAAACATTCTTTATGCAAATTGTCTTCATGTTGTACATTGTTGTCAAAATGGTCATTATACATTTAGATTTGTCATTTTTTGCTGCATTTCTTTTTGTAATTATTATGAATTAAGTTCAGTGAACAATGAAGTGTTCTCCATGTTTTCATGCCCTAAAATAGATGTTTGAATCCAATACTTACCATTATTGCATACTTTACCTTTCAGTTCATTCTTTTTGGAGTCCCATTTCTTAACTACAAACAGTTTTGATATTGTACTGTTTTCTTCTGTAGTCCTGTAGAATTTGCATGATAGATAGTTGTGTTCATTTTTGTGTATTTTGATAAAAAAAATCAACAAAATAACTTTATTCTAGTCTACAAATTATTTGCCATTCATTTTGAATATTTTGCTTGAATAAGTTCTATCATGCTGTTTCTAATCCTAGATGAATTTTGAATACATATTTTTATCAGTGTGTTTTGCTTATTTTTCACATTTAATTAATAATCTGTAATAATGCTCACAAAATTAGAGAGATTATTATGAAAAAAGAAATAGAATGTACCCGAATGGTTGATTCTGATATGCTTTTGTTTAATTGTTATCGCAAGCCTGATTGGTTAATTACTGTGTGAATCTTTTATAAGTTTCATAAATATGTTTCGATATGTAATGAGCATACTGGTAACCTGAATAGTTTCATACACCACAATTTCATCATTATTATTAGTAGTGGTACAATTTCATGAATTCAGCATTTAGATATATGACATACAACTGCTTCTATTTATTATCTGTTATCTCTATTTTGTTGAATTAATAAATCAAATTAAGAAAGGATCTGATGTATTTTGTCATTTTAATTGCACATGATATATTTCACATACATGGTCTCTCTTTCTCCCCTCTCTATGTAATGAGTATGAAATGATATATAGTAATATTTAATTTCATTTTAATTACCTGTAGAAATCAGTCACGCCAAGTGTAATAGATACCTCCTACAACTTGTCATATATATATACAACTGTACAATGTTTATAGTCTGTATATCCTAACGAATACCAAGAAGAGTTGTGACAAACCTTACAATGTTAAAGTTTGTGTGTTTGATAGCCGTATTTTCTCTTGTTTATTCCTCGGGAATTAAGCTTCATTTGACAGGTAAATTGCATATTTTTTTTTAAAGAAAACTTTATTACATTTTGTCTAATATTATGCATTACTCACTTGTATTTCATTATCTCTCAAGTATAAGGTTTCGTCAAAGTTCAACATGTCCAAAAATTTATTTTTACAATATGTCCAGAACTATGTGGTTTATAAAGTAAAAACTTTTACAGTTTAAAAATTTTTCATTGCTTAACAGATAGAAAATGATAAAAAAAAAATACTTGGAAAAAATATTAATTGAGAAACAACCTTTTGAAAAATGCACATATTTTTAAAAAATGCACCTAATTCCGTGCTTTTAGTGATAACCATCATTGCAGAAACAAAACCTGTTTATCAATGAAGGCAAGTTGGACTTGGTTAGCCTCTGGAAAGTTGTTTGCCCTGTTTTAAGTGTTTATTTTGTCTAAAAGTTAAGACTTGAAAGCGAAAGTACATTGTAAATGCCGGAATATATAGGGGTCTTGTATTTATACATCTCATGCTTTCAGTAACAACCTTTCAGAGACCATTCACGTCCAACTTGCCCTTCAATGATAAACATATATTATTTCTGCAATAATGGTTTTCACAAAAAGGACAGAATTAAGCAGGTGCATTTTTCTTTAAATATGCACATTTTCTGATACAATTTTTCTAAAAAAAAATATCTTTTAAAAAATATTTGTTATCAAGTGGTAACTACTAATCAAAATATATATTTATAAACTGTAAACGTTTTGACTTTATACCACACATAGTTTTGGAGCTATTGTAAAAATAATTTTTAAATTTGACCTTTAAATTTATTTTTCTTTGGTTATATCATATTTGTATCATTGGCACATAAAGGCATTTCTTCAATTTTCTTCTGTCAATTTTAATTCCTTAGTATTTGAAGTATACAACAGTAAATTCTTTTAAACAGTTAAGACATATGTTGACCTTTGACAAGACCCTAATAAACCACTCGTTCACGGAATCGTAGTTCAATATGATAATATCATCAGATATCACCAGTACAAAAAGGTTGACATAATGCACTTAATTGTAATGTTACAATTAACTAGTCTTAACTGATAGAGAAAATATATATTTATTATATATTTAAAACTAAATAGTGCATTAATATAATGCTAAATATCTCATGAACTACTTACTATGTTATAATCACCAGTGTCATAAATTGTATATGTCAACTGTTTATATTTTCTTTTGACAAACTTCATCACCATTTAATTAGAAAAAGAAATATTTTTTTGCCTATAAGAAATTATAAATATTTGATGTTAAATCTTTTGTGTTTTTGTCGGTAGACGGAATGAAAGCCATGCTGAGGAAGTCTAAATGGGATCACAAGAATACAGTCATCTCCATACACGGACCTATGACTCTCGATCTGAAGTCAAGTTATAAACTAAAGGATGGACAGGTGTTTCTTAAATCACGTGAGTATTTCTAAATCATCTCAATTATGGATTAAATATTGACGCTAAAACCTCAAAGCAAAAACTGAAGAACTTAATCAGTTAATAATTTATACATCCTGAAAAAGTCAAAAACTGTCATAAAAGATGTAATGTATCATTCTATATTTTTTATTTTTAATATCAATGCAAAATGTCAAAATATAGTAATAGGAAAGATGAATATATTTCCCTTATTTTAGCCTAAAGAGACAAATTCAATTTATCTGATCGAAGGGTGTCCGGCGTCAGTTTGTTGTTTGTCATCTGTTGTCTGAATTTTTTTTTCTTTTTTCGACCTCATCTCAAGAAGCACAGGGTCAATTTATATAAAATTAGCCACAAAGCAGCCTTGGTTGAAGAGGATTCAAGTTATCAGTAACTTTGTTCAAATGAAGATAATAACGGTCTCTTTCAGTAGGAGATAATACTGTATGATAGACAAACTATTACGCGTCCTAGGAAAAGAAAATATATATATATATATATATATATATATATATATATATATATATATATATATATATATATATATATATATATATATATATATATATATATATATATATAGCTAGGGGAGCTAATAAATTTCTTATTTAAAAAAACAAACAAACAAAGTTTTGACTATATAGTTATATTTATTTGGAAGTATCAGGTAGTGTAGATAAGTCGCGTACCATATGGATATATAGACAGAAAACATTTTAAAATCTTCTTCCCAAGAATAACAAAGACGGGATGAATGTTACATGTATTAATATAAAACATCCTCAGAAAATGGCGATTTAAGTTTGTTCCATTCATGATCACCTGCAGGAATAGGCCAGGGCCACAATTGGTGACTAACAGGAATATACAGAAGAACGGACAATCTAATAGCTAAACTGTATGAAAACGGGATGCTTTGAGCTTTTAGGCCATGAACTTCCCTCGTTATAATTTGATAATGTAATAATACATAACATTAAATCATTTCCTGCATATGGTATCTCTGACAAATAAGTCGATGCTACAGGGTTTTCTTAACTTTGTTGAAGAGAAATGTTTTGGAAGTTACTATCACTAGTATACGTTTTTTTTTGCCCTGGTCTCAATTCCTGCATTACGGTTATTTTTATGTTATCGATATCTCCACCATAATCATTATAAGGTTTAAATTAACTTAAGATTTAAATCTTGAAATAGGATAGGGTAACAATGGGCAATCAATGATTAATATTGGAATGCTGAGGAACGAATGTTTACCAGTCTATATATTTTTCTTCTCAAGAAGCAAAACCGTGTTTAAAAAGAAGCATCCTTGTATTGTGTAGATTCTGACGTTTGTTAAATTCATGATCGCCAGGAACAGGATGAGGCCAAAAAGGGATCAAAATTTTATACAAGAATATGCAGAAATATCAGCTGATGAAGAATTGCAAGATCACAATGACTCAGGTGAATGTGATAGTCCATGGCCCTCTTGTTCTTCAAAACTCGTCATTCACATGTTTATCTTCTTATTTTTCAGATATGAAAGAGAAACACAAGGACTGTGCTGATATCCTTAAAAACAGACCCCTGAGTAAAGATGGTGTGTACTCGATTTATCCTGATATGAAGACAAAGAAGTCGGTGTACTGTGACATGACGACGGACGGAGGCGGATGGACGGTAACCATGACAACTGATATTGAAATATTAACATGAGTTCAACTATCTTTCCATCTTCCTCTTTTACTGCAACATATCACAGAGTTCATATTGTCTTAATATTTTTAAGTGGATTTTCATGAGGTCTTTATTCTTAAAGTCAATCTGTCGCGCAGTGGTTAAAGCGTCTGCTCTAGAGTCGCGAAGGAAGGAGCTGATCCTTACGTCGCGGGTTCGAATCACACTGGGGCACGTGGAGACCGTTCCTTCAGATGAGCCTGTATAAATCGAGGTCCCGTGTTGCAGTAGGTGCTGGCACGAAAAAGATCCCTCCCTGTTCAATGGCCCTGAGTGCCGAGTATAGGAAAAAACTTTCAGCTCTCTACCGGCAAGTGATGGCGTCTCCATATGATGAAATGTTCTCAAGAGGGACATTAAACAACATACATACAATCAATCAATCAAAGTCAAAATTTATACAAGTTACTTACATATACACTAGACAAAATTGCTAACGCACCACTTGTTAATTCTTCTTTATGAACATAACATTTGCCAGATCGGTATAAGTGTATACATGTATAATATGCCATTATTTCCAAAACAGTGGGATTGACAAGTGTCTTGGTATTATGAAAAGACCCTTGAAGCACCTTCTTGACCGAAAACCACTTTCCAGCTGTGCACTGCGCACGTCCTTTTTGTCCAGATATGAAATTCTTGATCACTAAAGGTGGTCTGTGCGGTTGCCCACCAGGAGTAGTCCACCAGTTATAAATCAAATAACAAACTGTAATTTACTCTCATATCGCTTAGTAATTATCTGCATGGTGCTTTAGTGGCATTACCAAATCCACTCAACTTCCGGTTGACCGGGCCAGTTTTGTGGAACAGTTTTCAACTTACTGCTGCTAATTTAATGCCATGGTTATCTATAGTAATTTTTTTATGTATATTAATCTATTTGCTACAACTTTACACTAGTGAAGTTCATAAGCATTTTAATTTTGTCATTTAAATTTTTACAGATTTCTCTAAAGCAACCCCCTGCAGACGCCATACTGTCTGCTTTAGCACGTTCTTCCGCATACGGTGTAAAACTTTTTTTTCTGAGTTTTTAATTGTACAAATGAAAATAACACAAATACAAAGAAAAAAAATTGAGTTTTTTTATTTGAAAATGGAAGAGACACGATTTTAATGTTTTCTATGAGTTGGTCACACTTCAGTAAACATTGTAATTACTTTATTAAAGTAACAAATTTATACATGTATATCAAATGCATTATTAACAGGTTTTTAAAAGTTAAATATTAATTTTGTTATGTGGTGCGTTAGCAGTTTTGTCTAGTGTATGTTAGATTAAAAATAAGTCAGGTATACGTAATTTTCTAAATAACTAAAACTCAAAGTATTTCAGCTAATGGATTGATTTTAGGTTATACAAAGACGACAAGATGGCGTAACTGATTTTTATAGGAACTGGGCTGAGTACAAGAAGGGATTTGGTGACGCCAAGGATGAATATTGGCTGGGTAAGATCTGCCTTTTCAAAACATGATATTTGATTTTTAGGTCACCTGAGTAAACTCGGGTGACCTATTGCTATCTGTTTTTGTCCGTCGTCATTCGTCGTGCGTTAACATTTGAACATTTTTAGCTTCTTCTCTGAAACCACTCAACCAATGTCAACCAAATTTAGCATATAGCATCTATGGGTGAAGGTAAACAAAAATTTTGAATTTCATGGTCCTTGCCCCCCTGGGGCGGGGGGGGGGGGGGCAAAAACCACTAAAATTAGTGCAATCTTTAAAAATCTTCTTCTTTACTGCTGGACATCAAGCAGTCAAACTGTTGGTATGATTGTAATAAGCATTGAGTCCTCTACCTTAATTGTGAAATTCATGTCCCCAGGGTCAGGGGTTCTAGTGCTAGGGCGGGGCTAAATAGGTTACAAAGTGAAAATGCATTATTTCTTTGAAATTCTTCTTTTCTGCTCTTGGGCATTAAATAAACTAACCAAGTGCATAGTTGAGTTGAAAATGACCGCCTCTTCCAAAATTGTGAATTTAATGATCCCAGGGTCAGGGGTTCTAGTGTTAGGGCGGGGTCATATAGGTTATATAGTGAAAATGCATTAATTCTTTCAATTGATATTCTTCTTTTCTGTTTGCGGGCATTAAATAAACTAACCAAGTGCATAGTTATGTTGAATAAAGCTGCCTCTTCCAAAATTTTGATTTTTTAAATGGCCCCAGGGTCAGGGGTTCTAGTGGTAGGGCAGGGCTATATAGATAATATTGTGAAAATGCATTATTTGTTTGATATTCTTCTTTTCTGTTTGCAGGCATTAAATAAACTAACCAAGTACATAGTTATGTTGAATAAGGCTGCCTCTATCAAAATTGTGAATTTCATGGCCCCAGGGTCAGGGGTTCTAGTGCTAGGGCGAGCCTATAAAGATTATATAGTAAAAAATGAATTATTTCTTTGAAATTCTTCTTCTTTGCTCCTGAGTATCAAATAAACTTACAAAATGCATAGTTATGTTGCAAAATTGTGAATTTCATGACCCCTAGGTTGGATGTTCTGGTGTTAGGGTGGGGCTCTATTGATTATATAGTGAAATTGCATAAACTCTTTAAAACTCTTCTTTTCTGCACCTGAGTATTAAACCAACAAACTATGTACATAGTTAGGAGGAGGAAGGATGCCTCTTTGAGATTTGTGAATTTCAGGGCCCCTGGGTCAGGGCTACTTGTGTTAGGGCGGGCTTTAGGGTTTATATAGTGAAAATGAATGCGTTGAAAATCTTTTCCTTTGATCCTGGGTATTATGTTAATGATCTTAGTATATATTTATGTTGAAGAACACTGCTTCTTCCAAAAATGCCTAATTTCCAGGCCCCTGGGACAGAGGTACTTGAGAGGGGGGGGTGGGTCTGAAAATGATTTAATGCTTTGAAATCTGCACTTTGGTATTAATCAACACCATGATGAAATAAAATTTATAAAATTTCCAAAATTTTGAAAGATGTGGCCCCAGAGTCAGTGGTTCCTGTGGGATGGGGTGCACAACTGATAATGATAAAGTAGATATGCATTTTCTCTCTGTTACTGTGATCTACATGTACCTCTGGGTATCGCTAACTAAAGTAAGCATGCTGAGTTCATAATTAAGATAAGCAATGGTACCTCTTTCAAACTTTGTATTAAAACATGAATCAAATTCAATTGTTGGAAAGTTGTTGCATGATACTCAGGTGACCTATAAGGCCCATGGGCCTCTTGTTTTTATTCCTGCATACTTTTTTCAAAAATCTTTTATGTTTAGGAAATGATGCTATTTACACTCTGACAATGGACAAAAGACAAGAACTAAGAATAGATCTAGAGAGATTCTCTAGACAGAAAGCACATGCAACCTACTCCAGATTTTACATCGGGAACGAAGCTGAAAAGTATAAGCTGAGAGTAGAGGGATTCAAGGGAACCAAAGGTCTTGGTAAGAAGAATTTAATGTAATTAAACAATATTTACATAAAATATTTCCTATTTTGAATTCCAGAGAAATGAATTCTAAGTTTAAAATGCCACCAATAGGTTTAATTTACTATTGTCAAGTGTCCAGCCCTTCTTTAAGCCATCTTGCATCCAATAAATATTTTCTTCATTTCCTAGGAAATCTGGTTGTTGTTGATCAATAGATGAATAATACATTCAACATCAAAACAGCTTATATTTTTTGCTTTAAAAAATGAGTTTGAAAATTGTCAAAGATCAACTGTTATATGATCCTTTCATCAATGCAACGTAAGCATCAATCAAACAATATTTTATGTACTTCCACCCCCTTTTCATACCAAGGTTAAGAGATGAAATATAGCAGAAAAATTAAAATACACTTACTTAGGTTGTTTATTCATCTACAATGTTGCACCGGTTCATCCCACTTATAAGCAATGAAGGAAAACAATTTTTTGAGTTATTTATGAAAATGTAATTTTGAATGAAATAAATGAATCGCTGCAATGGGTACTATACATTTCAGTTTTGATAATTCCTATGACCTTTCAGATTCAGTGTAGCATACAGGTACCGGGTAATCCTTATAAAGATCAATCCCTTGGGTGAAATGTATAACTTTATACCTAGAAAGAAATCTCAAAACTTTAGTTAGTGAGATGCAAGAAATTCTCACAGATAAAAAATTCAATGAACTACTACATATGTGATAATTTACTTACGTATAATGATATAACAAGATTTTTTTTATTGATTATAATTATTATATAAATCACTGGTGGATATAATTATTATGCTGAAGAAGCAATAACAAAGTGGAGAGAGGTAGAGTGAGAGAGATTCTGCACACAGAAAATAATCAATCAAAGGATAAACGTATGTACTTACAGGTGATAGCTTTGGGCCGTACAGCAATATGAAGTTCAGTACTAAGGACAGAGACAACGATACAAATAGTGGTTCATGTGCTAAGGGCTACATAGCAGCAGGCTGGTTTGCTAGTTGTTTAAGCTGTAATCTTAATGGAGTATACAGAAAAAACTCCAAGAAAGATAGAACAGAACTGAATTGGTATAGTTGGGGAAAAACCTGGAGGTCCCTGAAGTCTGCAAAAATGATGGTACGCCCCAAAAACCATAATAAATAAATAAACAAAAATTTCTTTATGTATGATATAAAAATAAAGTTTATATTATAAACTTTGACAACAAAACAAGTTTGTTATTGGTATTACGAATTTTTGTGGGTTTTTGTGTGTCTTAAATAACATTTTCAGCCAGTCAAGATATTTAGTAAAGATAAATCAAAGCATTCTCTATTTGTGGAATGCATTACAATTTATATCTTGTTTATATTTTGATTTTTTTTATTCAAATGCCCTTCATACCTGTCAAAAATAGTACTTTTCAAAAATATGTTTATATTCAATATAATAATATTGTCAGCTGAGTTTAAACGAACAAAATTTTTTTAAATGCTATTTTTTTTTATATAAACATGATAAATAACGAATAAAATTTGAGACAAAACTTGAAATTTTTCAAAACAGATTAAATTCGTTTAAATGAAAATTTAAATTTTCATAGCGAATTTAACCGTTCGATATTGATATAAATATATAAAGTTAATGTTTAAAGGATACAATGTGTTACGGATGTACACTCATGTGATGTACAGAGATGTTTACACAAATTCTCCTCTGTATTTATGTCTTTGAATTGATTCAGATGCAAGTCCTTTGTTTATATCTTCATCACTTGATAGGATTAAAACAAATAAAAATAACAATTCAATTTGAAAATAAAATAAATTTACAACTGGCCATGTAACAAACTATCAACCAATTATATATATATATATATATATATATATATATATATATATATATATATATATATATATATATATATATATATATTTATTTCTTTAAAAAAATTTGTGAAACATACCAAAAAAAAAAAACCACGGGAGATCGCAAACGTGTCAATTTACCGAAATAAGAAAATATGTCATTCCTTTAAAAATACTTGTAATTTTATAACAATTACAGTATAACATATTTTTTTGCTAACAATTTCGGAAAATTGATACGCATGCGAACTCCTGTGCCAAAAACATCGCTAGTATCTGACAGAAAAATCCATATATTTTACTGTTGGAATTGTCTTTTCATTTTTGAACACTGCACGGTCAATTCTTGAACTGGGGCTTCATTTTGTTTGTAACCAGATTTTCCTGGAAAACAAATCATGAATAGATAGTAAATTTATTTAAAATTAGAATTAAATATTTAGGAATTAAGCACTGAATGATATTTTTTTCTTACTCCTCACTCCATCAACAAGTAGAAACTGACTTAGTAAATGTAGTTGTCACAATAAAGAAATAAACAATGTTAAGTAAAATTAGAAGGAAGCGTGTCTAATAAGGAACTTTAATTATGCCAATGTTTTTTTTTTGTTCGTTTATTATGTATATAAATCTTAAATCTACAGTAAACACATTGCTTGTTTTCATTTTTTTTTAAAAAAAGCCAAAACATTAATTAATATACTTTTCTAGGATATAAATAAACTGTATCATTATTACAGTTTAATTAATAAATTGACACTTAGAGACTATTTCCATGAAAAATTATAATTTTTTTAATTTCCTTTCGTAAAATTTTAAAAAGGTTGTTTTTTTTTTTCGATTTTCATAATCGGATAGATCTCATTCTATGGAATTCGTGTGAGAGGTACCGGGATGACTCATTTCTGCTTTTCGCTTTATGTTATAATTTCTTGGCCATTCATTTCCAATTCCTTGTACATCTAATGGACCTGAGTTGCTGACATGGTTGGGGAAGAGGAACTTTTACCCAACCTGTATGAAATGCAACCAAGATAGTCAAGATTCAGCTTTCCACTCTTAAATTAAACAATCTATTTGTATTCGTTATGATTACAGTAAATAATTTCTTACAATATACTATAAATTATACTAAACATTACTAGTAATGATATAAAAGATTGTAACCTGTTACTAAATTAAGCCAAGTGAAAATTCTAATAATTTGACAAAAACTGCGCAAGTCTAAAAAATTATCTCACCTGTATGAAATGCAACCAAGACAGTCAAGATTCCGCCATCCACTGAAATCCTGTCTATCCCGACCGCTCATTTTATACTAGGTGTAACTTCGTAGATTTACATCTCAATATTTGTAACTCCTTGGAAAGTTGTAATAATTACTTTAAATTTAAATTTGAATTTAATTACTATTACTTCCGACCTTGAGTACGTTTTAAACTTTTAAGGCACTTTTAAAATAATTTCCAATCTTTTGCATGATTTTTTAATATTATTTGTTGTAGCTAATTTATCCAAATATCTTACCTCTGGTCACTTCAATACTATTCTACATTTTTTATATTTTATATTATATTCAATACTATTGTTCCTTCCTCACCCTAACCAAATACATCTTTTCATAAACAATTAAGTAGCAGCTGCATTCCCATGATTTATTTCGTGGGACCATCCGGTTTAAAAGTTTAATTCCTATTGATTAGCCTCTTTAATTACTTTTGTCTGTAGAGCTCGCGTTCGTTATCTTTTGTCAGACTAAAAGTGCAAACTTAATAACATCCGTTTGTTCTTATATTTACTGCAATTTTTGTTATGATAAATCCCCCTACTGTCGAAAACTTGTCCGAAAGATGTGTTTAAAGACCATTTTAAGTTTCCCGGTCACAATTTAAATTGAAAGTTAATATATATTTCCATTTCTAAATTTTTTTCTCTATAATAACCCTTTGAAAGTAAGCGGAGTTGATTTCCTGATAATTCTGCCGGACTGTAAATTAGGCAGGTCGATAGGTCAGCAGCTAAGGAGGCCTAATACGCATGCAAAATTCGTGCGCATCTGTCTCTGTGTCTGACGCTAAGGAGGCCAAATATGCATGTAAATCTCGTGCGGCTGCCTTTGTGTTTGACGTCAGTGTGCGAGGACTATTGAAATTGGCATGGAAGTCCTCGTGTAATTTAAATCGATTGGTCTATATTCTTAATGTCTAAGTCTACAATTTTATTTCACAATGAAATGGAAATATAAGGAATCACTGTCTAATTTTGAGAGTATGCCAGGGACATCAACAATAGTGGGAAACATGGGGTAATTTTATCATACCGGGCATCGCCCGTTATTCAAATTATCCCATGTTTCCCACTATTGTTGATGCCCTGGCATTATCTCAAAATTAGACAGTGATTCCTTATATATATATATATATATATATATATATATATATATATATATATATATATATATATATATATATATATATATATATATATATATATATATATATATATATATATATATATATATATATATATATATATATATATATATATATATATATATATATATATATATATATAGCACTAAAAAAAAAAACAACAACACTGTATATCCCTAATGTCGGATCTACCAAGTAGATACAAGGTCACGGATGGAAATTTATATAAAGCACTAAAAATGACCAACGACACGAAGAATAAAAATTGTCAAATTTTCGGCACGCCCTGTCCCTTCCTCAGGACAAAGAAAAAAGTTAAAATGTCATAAGAACAGAGGAAAAAGAAAAACAAAAAAAAAACAACTAGCACTACTACTAAACACTATATATTTACAAACTTAGTTACATATTGATTTGGAAATTTTTAAGAACACTATTAAAGAAAGAATCCGGACCGCTATGAAATGCGTCCGGTCTATTGGGTATAATCGGGTGAAGTGCGATTTACATAATTGAACGAATTAATTATGCTAATTGATTACGGCAATCAGTAAATCGTACATTGTTTCAAAATGACGTAACTATACTTGATAAAGAATAATCAAAGAAAAATAAAAATATAGAAGGGGCATTTTAACATATGAATCATGATCTATCATAAATTTTAATTTGAAATGTTTTAGGACTAATTATCGGTAAAAAATAAATAATAATTGATTAACAAAGGCGTAAGGAATACATAGTTATGCGGGTTGTTCGAGAGTTGGTAACGCAAATTAACTGTAGAGTTTACACTTAATTGAGAGAATAATCTTGTTTGGTATCATCAGGAATCGGGTCTAGTTTACGTTCATTCTGGTGAAGTCATTCAGTTTGTTAATACCATGACTTCAATCTGTGCATCCAGAACTTTTCTTTGCTTTTTCTCTGAGCGTCTGTCCATCTTGGGTTATGGTCAATCACCACTACTGTCATGTCCTCCCATTTGTGACCGTCAAGGTTGAAATGTTCCCCAACGGGTTCATTGAGTTTTTTGGTCCTAATGGTCGAACGGTGGTTGTTGACTCTCCTGCGGAGATCTCCTGTTTCACCAATATACTGTTCGGAGCAAACTTTGCAACTGATGAGAAAAATGCAGTTGTCATAGACAGGACAAATTTCCTAGCATTTTGTAGCTGCGGCCTGTAACAGGGCTGTTAAAACTGTCTGTGTCAGTGCTGTGCTTACAAAGAAAAACTTTCCTTGCCACAAAGAAATACGCACGCTACCTCTCGATTCTCGCCTACATTTTGGAACCATGTAATTCAATATAGATAGCAATTTGGCCATAAAATTTTTGTTTAGTACAAAGAACAGTTCTATGGTAATTGATGAATTGTCTTAATACCAGCGCTAAAAAGTAAATTATCCATAATTACAGCTCTTGAAAAAAAGGGGGGTAGACGATATTTTCCATTGAAATCGAAGTTTCAAGCATCACCATATTTTGAAATAGCTAGGATATGATTAAATGATTCCATATATGTTTTCTAATGTCTTAGCCAAATAAATAAAACTTAAATATATCAATAAAATAGAATGTTTCAGTTGTAAATCGCTTTGATATTGGTGGAAAATTAGCATTTTTATCGTTTTTGTCAATAGACATATGCCCCCCCCCCGCCCCGTGTCACACAAAAAGCTTTGGCATGAATTCGTGAAATAACATTCCATATACCTGTGAAAAGAAATTTTTTGACAC